TCCGTATTTGTAAAGGAGTTCATGGGATTGTAATACCTATCCTTAAAAGGTCTCCTAGTTGTCCCCACATACAGCTTAATATCGCTGGGGTTCTCATTTGATGAGATATAGCACATATGCACTATGGATTTGGTTAAGCGCCTGTTTAATAATGAACATTGATCAGGGATTCCACAATTACATAGACTTTTTTCCTGGGGTGTATTAGAACTTGTATTTAGGTTGTGTTTATTATCTCTATGAAGTTTCAATATTCTATTTTATTGCAATTTAATAATTTTATCTAGATTTCTAGAAAAGCTATGGCTAATTTTTAAGGTATTAGGGTTGAAGATCTGGCTTAATTTAGTCTCCGTAGGAAAGTGCTTGTTAATTAGAGTTAAGAATTTGTGTCCTAATTTGGTACGGACTAATTTGTTGAAGGGAGGTGCATACCAAATTATTCTCCTTCCTCTATTGTTTTTTTTTTTTTTAGAATAACTACAATGTTCTCTATATTTAATTTCGGAAGATCTGTAACCACGATTGATAAGAATTTTGTTAAGATAATTTTGTGTTTATCGAATATTTCCTTGCTAGAAGAGTGCTTGTTTATACGGCGTTCAACGGATGATGTGATATGTTTAATAACTGGCGTTGGGTGATTTGAATTAGGGTTTATGTAAATGGGGTTAGCGTTATTTTTCAAGAAGGGTTGGAAATTATTTTAGGTTAGGTTTAAGGTTACATCTAAGAAGTCTACTTGTTTTATGTGAGAAGTAATTTTAACCTTGAGGTGTAAAGATTTAAAAACTCTATGAATTCATTTCCTCAGCCTCAAACAAATGGAAAAAGAAAGTAACGTTTCACATACCGCTTGCCTACAAGCAGGATTTTCATAACCATTTTCGATTCTCACCCGTCGAAGTGCAGTTGAAATGCACTGAAACGAAGTTATATCTTTGTCGTGAGTAAGGAATGATGTATGTTCCTGTCCTTTAACAAAATAACCTCCTTATTAAAAAAAAAAATGTTGACTTATTCCTTACTCTTTTTCTTTCCGGATAATTTTTATTGCAGTATATTGTTACTCATAAACCCAAGGTAAATGATGAAACAGTATCGAGTAACCTTAAGTACGGACTGTGAATAAGTACTATTTTAGAATCGAATCATTACAGGTGATGAAAAATAGATATTCTTTGACAAAGGTAAGAGAGTAGGCCAGTAGTTAGATGTTAGGGAATCAACAATACAATACTCGAAAACTCCACTGAACACTAAAATGTTAATGGGTACTGTATGGTGGTCTTTCAAAAGGTTTATTCATTATTCATTCTTGCTTCAAGGGAAAAAATAACATCAACCTTCTATTATGAAGAAATTGCGTGTAGGCAGGAAAAATTGAAAAAGAAATGCCCCAAACCTGTGGGTAGGGATGGCCCAATTTTGCTGCATGACAATGCACGGCCCCATACTTCTTAATGAACTGTCCAAAAGCTACATAACCTGAATTATCAAATTGTACTTCATCTTCAATATTCACCTCATATCTCGCCTACTGAGTCTCACTTATTTAAGCATTTTGAGCTTTACATACGCAATAAAACATTCTCGAATCAGGAAGAGTTAATCATTTGAACTGTATATCACATAAAAGGATGAGAATATTTTAAGTATAGCTTCAAAATTTTTGAGGTGTGTTGGAGAAGAGTAATTCATAAACATGGTGGCGATTTCAACTAGTTATTTAGCATTTCAGAAGTGTTTTATTTATTTCCGATAAGTGTATCATTTCATGTGTGACAACCTAATATATATATATATATATATATATATATATATATATATATATATATATATATATATATATTCATCTACATCCGAGGCTGGTTCGCTGCATCATAGCTCGTCAGTGTAGCTATCGGTGTACGGCATGGAAATTTTAACGTATTACATACGAATGCATACAGATACTAGCAGCCAGAGTGATAAATTCATTATGTAAGATCGATATATATATATATATATATATATATATATATATATATATATATATATATATATATATGGGTGTGTGTGTGTGTGTGCGCGTATGTGTGTGTACAAACACACACACACACACATATATATATATATATATATATATATATATATATATATATATATATATATATATATGTATGTAAGTCTTAGGTGTGTGTGTGTGATTTGGTTTTGAGAGGAAGCATTTGATCTCTCTGCATCATCTATGGGGTAAATAGCAGAAATGCCCCAGGAAATTCTGTTTCTCTCTAAACTCTCTCTCTCTCTCTCACTTTCACTGTATATATATATATATATATATATATATATATATATATATATATATATATATATATATATATATACTTATACATGTGTGTATGTGGGTGTGTTTGATTGGTGTACTGTACTCTCCCTATCACCTCTAGAATAAGCTATATATATATATATATATATATATGTGTGTGTGTGTGTGTGTGTGTGTGTGTGCGCGCGCGTGTGTGTGTTTGTTTGTGTGTGTGTGTGTGTGTTCGCGCTCTCTGTGTGTGTGTGTGTGTCTGTGTGTGTGTGTGTGTGTGTGTGTGTGTGTGTGCCTGTTTGGCTTACTCTAACAAGTAGAATCCATTTTTCCTCTCTCTATCAGCTTTTGGGTAAATAGGGTTCACTTGGTGCATGGCATTTGGTTTGCAATCTAAGAGAAAAATTACGATCCAAAGCCGTTTTAGGAGGCAGAAAAAAAACAAAAAAAAAAACACTCGACTACCTTTCCAATTACTTTTGGAAATTCAAAGATAAAAAATATATCGAGTCATACTCTTTACTTGAAATTATATATTCTCCCATTTTTTTTTGGGGGGGGGTGCAATTTTCCATAAATTTTAAATAGAGTTAATCCTCGGCTATTCCAGTCATGCCACGGTCGTTCTGTCCGAAATATACTAAATGAACTATGGCCAGTGGCATTCAGCCTATCAAGCATATACATTTGTGCCCAGATCAATGTGCATATTCAATTCCATTTTATCGTACAGTAGTTTCACATTCCATGCAAAATTCTTCGTTGTTCTTTGAGGCGAACTGTCAAATATCGCTGTTCCAGATTTAGACTTGGCGCTAAAAGTCATCTGAATTTGTTCATGCTTCTATCGTCTGAATTATATTTTTTATCAAACCACACATGGACTTTCTAATGTCTCTTTTAGGCATAACGAAATTTTGCGAAGTAGATTTATGTGAAAACATAAATTTGTTTAAACGTTCAGGTTTCATGTTTGTTAGCAAATGCTAGGTCATTAGTTTCGATAGTTGCAGTTAGCTGTGGTTAACGAAGATTTTTGAATGATTTCAATCGACGTGAAACTATCGTTGAACTGACATTTGTACCATTTTGTTGGCCATTGCATAGCGCCAAACTTCATCAAATGGACAGCTTTTCCTTGGATGTCCACTTCTCCTATGGTCACTATAAGGTCCTAAGCCTTCGGCATTTTCATCAAAGCAGTGTACACAGATGTTTCTCTATAACATACATTAAAATTCATTCCATATTTAGTAGACTTCAACGCAAAGAATCACAGTTTAGAACGTTCGTTGAGGTGAAAGTGAAGATTTTTCGGTCAATTTCTAAGCCTAGTTCACTACAGAAAGACTTTTATAATGACTTGATTTTGCAATAACATTTTTTTATCCCGATGTGGATAACTGGTGAAGCAATAACAAAATGTAATACAAAAAGCACAAGCAAACATATTACGGCTAAATGTATTAAACATTTGTTAATGATAATCTATCTATCTATCTATCTATCTATCTATCTATCTATCTATCTATCTATCTATCTATCTATCTATCTATCTCAGTCTGTTTATTATCTATCTATCTAGCTAGCTAGCTATTTATTTCAATTTTTTCATATCTATCTATCTATCTATCTATCTATCTATCTATCTATCTATCTATCTTTCTCATATCTATCTATATCTATCTATCTATCTATCTTTCTATGTATGCATATCTATTTATTTCTTTGATGTCTATTTAGTTCATCTTCTCAATATCTATCTATCTATCTATCTATCTATCTATCTATCTATCTATCTATCTATCTATCTATCTATGCATGTATCTATGTATTTATTTGAGTTTCTTCATATCTATCTATCTATCTCAGTCTGTGTATTTTCTATCTATCTATCTATTTCAATTTCTTCAAATCTATCTATCTATCTATCTATTTGTCTGTATATCTATGTAATGTTGTGTTGAGTTATGCTATATGTATCAGTAAAAGCGGTTAATATCAACGATTGAGCGTGAATATAAATGTAGACACTGACCTTACAGCCAACCATAAATAGACTCCTAACCCAGACCGCTTCCCCGAGATAAGATACATCACGCTCCCACCAATCGCTAATACAGGCCCACTCTCATTAACAAGGTGCCTACCAAAGACTGGCTTTGAAAAATACATAAATAAGCGCTCCGAAGACAAGTACTTAGTGGCTGATGAAAGCCGTTAAGGGACGGTTTGAAATAGTCTATTCCGAGGTTGAGGTAATTTTGTTATTTCCTGTAATATATATATATATATATATATATATATATATATATATATATATATATATGTGTGTGTGTGTGTGTGTGTGTGTGTGTGTGTGTGTGTGTGTGTGTGTGTGTGTGTTAATGATCGGAATTGAATAAGTACAGGAAACAGTAGTATTAAAAAGTGCTCAATATACTTTAACATGTAGAGCTTTTAATATCTATCTATATTTCTGAGATGATGTATTATGTATATTATTTACATTAATCGGACTATTGTCCTCATCTTTGTCGCCATATTTATTAAAACGCCTCGGCCGTTGTATGCTCCGGCCTTATTCAGGTGCCATGTTTCTTCAAGGACACACGGCACAGTGGATAAAGGCGTTAGTTAGATCCAGTAACAGGACCCAAAGAGTGTGAGTTCGATACCCGGTTAAGGCGATGGAGAACTTAGAGAGGAGAATTAACAGGAGATAACTGATAACGGACATCCATTAAACATGGCACGTGGAACTAGAATAATCTACCCCAGTGAGTGAAATAAATGGTTCAGTTCGACATTCTAACCATCTGAAGAAGTCCGGAGCGAACAGCGGCCGAAACGTTGTAATAAATATGGCGACAAAGATGAGGACAATAGTCCGATTAATGTAAATAGTGTACATAATACCTCATTTCAGAAATATAGACAAATAATGAAGAAGGGCGAAGCGTACATCGGCCGAAACGTTGTGATAAATATGGCGACAAAGATGAGGGCAATAATCAGAATAATGTAAATAATCTTGAACTTATAAGTATAGAAAATCAGCCGCTCCCACTACATTGTTATCAACCTTTCGGAGTCTTCAGGGGATTTCACTCAGTTGATTTGCTAACGATTTATTTCTTCAAAATAAAATTTTAAAAAATATGATCTCTATATTAAAAAGATGATGAATAAGCGAACGATGAGTTCATTTTGAGTTCATTTGATGTGGTCTAAAAAGAACGTATGCATATTGCATTTAATCCCCCACCGATGTTGTGCCAATGCACTTGATTTCCTCCCTCACTTCCTCACTGTCGCGCGCTTATTCTTCCATTTTTTTAAAATATAGCTTTCATAATTTTAAATATAGCGTTCTTAATTTTTTATTTAAAAAAAAAAAAACAACAAAAAACTTTAAGAACTCAAATGAACAAAATCATCTATCTGAAGATACCGAAAGATTGAAACTAAGAAACGGGATCGGATGATTTCCAATATATATATATATATATATATATATATATATATATATATATAAATTATACACCCACATACGCACACACGTACACATATTTATATCTCTATCTCTATATCTATCTATCTATCTATCTATCTATCTATCTATCTCTCTCTCTCTCTATATATATATATATATATATATATATATATATATATATATATATATATATATAATAAAAAGGCTTAAACACTAATATTCCATGGTCATAATTTATTCCATTGGAATCGTATTAGTGTTTAAGCCTTTTTATTATATCCTTACTCTGTCCTGGACATTGAGTTCTACCTGGATTCTATCCTCTTGGATTTTTTTATTCAAAAATATACATGTATGTGTATGCACCTATGTATATATATTTTGCATATGTATGTATATTTACCACTAATATTATCTCTCTCTCCTTCTCTCTCTCTCTCTCTCTTTATATATATATATATATATATATATATATATATTTATATTACTAAATGAAACCGACTTTTCTACTGCAACAGTTTCTTTTCTCGCACCTTTACTTGTTTTCTGATAACTATATAATCAAGAATTTAAATACAACAATGGCCATCTTCTATCTTGAATCTCGTCCATCCTTAATCCCCCTCTGTATTCATTTTCTCTCAGCTTCACTTGTTATAGCCCCCACCCCCGGGCCACTGCTTACTAATAGCCTTCCCGCGGTGAAATGATTCAAACGATTAAATGATGATGTAAACGTCATATTTAAGCAACTACCTGTATTTATGTAAAGGCTCTGACCTTTTTTAAATAGTGTAACTTTCATTCGAGAATAATGTGAGATTAAAAAAAAAAAGCATTAGGTCCTTAGAAATTACTTTGAAATTACATATAAAATACCTTTTTACGTTTCGGATACGAAAATAAAATGAACACATAGAAATTCGAGATTATATGGCCTTCCAAAAGAATCATTCGTTAGTATGTGTAAGGGTTTTCCGTGACAGATCGTTCTTTAAGCAATGCTACATCCAGTGGTGGTTTTATTTTAAAAAAAAAAACATTTTAAAAATAAAGCATCTACGCTCAAACACATGTATCCGTAAGAGGAGTAACGGATTGGCGGCAAAGTTTGATCATTTTAAAGTTAAAATTGCTAGATGAAAACGTAAGTTCTATGTAAACAAATTATTCTCTCTTATTTATCGCTCGTGGAAATCACTTCCGGCTTCTTGCTTTTCAGTCAACTTCAAAGATTTAAATACAACGTCAATCGTTATTTTCTGTTATCTTAACCTGTAATGTTATTATTTTATATTCTCTCAGATTCTGTAACGCCTTGCATCTTAGACGATTTATTGCCTTGTTTTGGGTGAAAAGATTAAAATATAAATAGAGAGAGTGAGAGAGAGAGAGCGAGAGAGTGAGAGAGAGAGAGTGAGAGAGAGCGAGAGAGAGAGAGAAACATTATGGCAGAGATATGAATATTGCATATAGAGAGTCACGTGATTGAAATATATCATCAATGATGTTTGTTTAAACATAAAACCTACACTTAATATGCTATTTTGTTTTCTATATACAAAGTTCTTATATCGACAAATGTTCTCTGAACAATATCGAGAAAAATTTTACTATAAATATATCACAATTTACACACTATCTACTTGTCTTTTAGTTTTTATTAACATGTGGGCCAATCTATCTATCTATCTATCTATCTGTTATGGGATCTTACCCATAATAATAATAATGGACTATTCCATACTTAATAATTACTGCGCCTCAAGAGTAGGCTGAGAGTCAGTAGTTCAAGTGGAGTCAGTAGTTCAAGTCAAGTCAAGAGTCGAGTCAGAGGCAGTGCGAAACAGAGTCGCGTTCAGACAATTACTGCAAGACATTGGAGTAGTGATACTGGTCAAGACTACATAGTTCTCTCTACTAAACCCGATTGTTAATACTAACACTTCTACTACTTCTATATATATTCCTGTTTGTAATACATCTGTGTTATTCCATACCTGTGTTCGAGTTCTTCTTTATTGGTTCTACCTTGGACTATCACCGTGGTACAAGGAACCGGACCATAACAAGTGGCGACGAAGATTCGAATTCATTCGGTGGAAGAAAAAAAAATTCGTTCGCCACAGTATAACACGTGGCGACGAGGTAACTCACGAAACCAACTCTCTATGCGGAGGACATACCTTTTATTTTGCTATCCGTCGCGCATAACAAATGGCGACAAAGATTCGAATTCATTCGGTGAAAGAAAAAAAAACTTCAGATTATCGGAACTCAGCGCGGACAATTTCAAATGCTTAATTTACGTCCAAGGCCTGGTTTCAACCAAAGACGCGGAAATGAGAGGCAGAATACTTACTAAATTGGAGAGTGAAGAAGATCTGACACTTCAAAAACTAGCCGAAGATTGCCAGAGATTCATCAGTGTGAAGAAAGAATCAAAAGACATAGAACAAACTGGCATAGCACACGTACGCAAAGTACGAAAGCAAACAAATTGTCCCTCCTCACAAACAAAACCGAACCGATTTTCCCGCCTCAAGAACAGGTAAAACAAAATTTTCTAATTATAATTAACATGAAAAAACTACCACCCAGTCCATGCTATCGTTGTGGATCTTGAAATTGGGTTACAGACTGTACATATCGTTTTAAAACTTGTTTATGATGTAAAAAAAATGGCCACAAAAGTTCTCATTGTTGGTATAGAAAAGAAAGCAAAAGCAGAATAAGAATTACGAGGACCGGCCAAACAGATGAGACTAATATAAGAAAATATGTACAAGTTGAAATGCAAAACAGAAAAATTAGGTTACAGCTGGATTCTGGCTCAGACTTAACTATCATAAACCTACAAACATGGAGAAAACTGAACAAACCTGTCACGTTAAAAACGGATAAAATTGCTAGATCAGTTACGGGGAGAAAGATACAATTCGAGGGTGAAGTCATTACAAACGTAACATTTAATGGAATGACAAAAAAACTAAAAATGTACGTCTTAAGAAATACCGAAAAACTATTCGGAACAGACTGGATGCAAAAATTCGAATTTACGTATTAGTTCGTACTGCCAAAATGTAAAAAGCTTATCAACCGAGGCAGACAAATTAAAAGGAAAACTAAAAACGAGTTTCCCCGAAGTATTTTCAGCAGGTCTCGGAAGATGTAAGAAAATGGCAGCTAATATCGAAATAAAGGAAAACGTTCAACCTTTTTTCAAGAAAAAAAGGAGCGTACCGTTTGCGTCAATAGAAAAAAATGACCAAGAATTAACTAGACTCGAAAATACGGGCACATTGAAAAATGTAGAGTACAGCAAATGGGCCGCACCAACGGTCTACGTTAAGAAGAAATCAGGAGAAATTCGAGTTTGTGCTGATTTCTCTACAGGTTTGAACGCAGCAATAAAGGACTACCACTATCTTCTACCCAATCCAGAAGAAATATTCACTAAATTAAATGGCGGAAAATATTTTTCAAAAATTGATTTAAGTGAGGCGTACCTGCAAATTCAAGTCGATGAAGAAAGTTCAAAACTTCTATGCATAAATACACACAAGGGATTGTACAGATACAAGGACTACCATTTGGAATTAAAGCCGCGCCGGCTATATTCCAACAGACAATGGATACGATGTTTGCCGGGCTAGACTACACAATTGCATACCTGGATGACGTATTGATTAATAGAAAAAGCGTTGAACAACACTGGCAACATGTACAAGAAGTTTTTAAGAGAATTCAAAGCTATGGATTCAAAGTAAAACTTTATCATCAGCAGAAGTCATGTTTGCTAGGAAAATCAGATCAGCGTTCGATAAATTGCTACCAAGTAAAACAAAACAAGTAACACAGTCCTACGCACCAAAAAGAAAATTCCTCCCAGGAGAAAAAGTTTTTTTAAGGCATATAAAAATAATACTTCTTACTGAGAGCAAGGCATAATTGAGAAAAGAATTGGTAATATGATGTACATAGTTCAAGAAAAAAAATTCTCACACAGAAGACACGTAAACCAAATAAGAAAGAGAGCGTTAGAGGAAGCTAACAGCCCACCTCAAGAAGAGGTATTGGACACGATTTTCGACTCATTCGATATAAAAAGACCGCAAACAATACCAGAACCAAGACAATCGCCAAGAAAAAGAAAATTCACTGAACCTTTGGAAATAGATCCAAAGAAAAAAAAGATATTAAAAAAAAACCCTGCTACGCAAAAGCTTCGGAAGGGGGGGTGTTATGGGATCTTACCCATAATAATAATAATGGACTATTCCATACATAATAAATACTGCGCCTCAGGAGTAGGCAAAGAGTCACTCGCTGAACTCTTGACCAGCTGCTCGGAGAGCCCACGTTAAAAAGGCCTTGTGCCACACGACGCTCTCGTGGTGGGGGTGAGTGAATATCGTCAGTCGCTCAAGTCCTGACCGGCTGTTCGGTTGAACTCTCTGACTTTGGGCGGAGAGGAACCCGAACGAGGCTACGCCGAGGGGCGGAGTCTCGTTCGGGGAGGTAAACCGGCCCCGAGCCCGTTTATACGGGTTCAATGGGCATATTTTTGGGCCGAGCCCACGGGCTCGGAAAACCCACAATAAATAACCGACATTGTGTAACATGTTACCCCAGTGGTGGTGGTGGTGGGGGGGAGAGACTGAATATCGTCAATCGCTCAAGTCCTGACCGGCTGTTCGGTTGAACTCTCTGCCTTCGGGCAGTGAGGAACCCGAACGAGGCTACGCCGAAGGGCGGATTCACTTTCGGGGAGGTAAACCGACCCTGAACCCGTCTATACGGGTTCAATGGGCATATTTTTGGCCGAGCCCACGGGCTCGGAGAGCCCACGTTAAAAAGGCCTTGTGCCACATGACGCCCTCGTGGGGGGTGACTGAATATCGTCAGTAGTTCAAGTGGAGGCAGTAGTCAAGTGGAGTCAGTAGTTCAAGTCAAGTCAAGAGTCGAGCCAGAGGCAGTCCGAAACAGAGTCACGTTTAGAATATTACTGCAAGACATTGGAATAGTGATACTGGTCGAGACTACATTGTTCTCTCTACTAAACCTGATTGTTCGTACTAACACTTTCTACTTCTCTGCATATATTCCTGTTTGTAATATATCTGTGTTATTGCATATACGTGTTCGAGTTCTTTATTGGTTCTACCTTGGACTATCACAGTGGTACAAGGAACCGGACCATAACACTATCTATCTTTTTTAAATATCATCTACCTAAGTATATGACTCGTGCCATTAGAGGAAAGTTCATGCAAAACCTTCATTTGCAAGATGGTTGGTTTAGGCAAGCTATTAGTCTGCATCTTCGTGCCAATTATAAAAATCTGTAATTTCCAATATAAGTTCTACCGAAGGCGTTGATCTTTCAATATAGGACTTCTGTTCTCTGTGTCTGCTATATCAGATTAACGCAGATTACAATCCCCTCTCTAGGGCTTCTTTACTTTATCTTATTTCTCCAATTATAAATTTGTACACAATCAGTAATTCGATCAATCTTATACGCCAATCATTATTTCCTTAAAGTCTACAAACTGTTACATGTCCATTTCTAACGGTTAACTGTTTCAGGTTTGAAATACTGTTACCTACTGAACATTGACACAGTCGCTATAATTATTTTCTAATCTATACAAGACAATACTAGAAGTCTTCAAGTTTACATCAGAATCGGATTTTGTTATATATGGAGAGAAAACCAATCGTTTTGAAAGTGTTAACCTCAAGGCAATATATATATATATATATATATATATATATATATATATATATATATATATATATATATATATAATTTTTTGCATTGGGAAAACCGCCTAGGTTTTTTGCCTAGTGGTTTTAATGCTAACTTTCAAACCATTAAACCCGGGTCTGAATTTCCCCATGGTACATTTGTTTAGAACGTGACATCTTAATCATTTTGTTGCGGGAGATTTTCTCAGCACATGACACCGTTAATAGGCGAGTAAGAAGTATATCGTCAATCGTTGTACTCAATAGCCATCATAGCCGACAATTTGATAGCACTTGCCTTGTCCAAACTAATAATCCCACCATATTGTCCGCGCTCTCCCAGGAACTGTAACTAAGATCCGCTCAGTGTAATTGCAGTATGAACCCCACATTGGCTTTGTTGATATTGAATAAGCACAAATCTGCTTCGAGGCTGTCTGCAACAGGGTTTACCAAACAACCGCTGCATACCAAATATGAAATGACTGCTGCCATATATTGGATGACCATTCCACACTTTCCAGCTTTCTTGGTATTCAAAAACATCTACATGGTCTTATGGGGAATTAATTATTTTCCACTCTAAAACCCCTCTCCCCATAGATCAAACAAGGCAATCCTCCAACGATATTTCTAGTTCTCTTGTACATCTCCCAGGCTGCATGAATTAGTTCCACGAGTTCAAACCTTTGAAGATAAGACCCGCTATATCATGTCCACTGTGACAAATCATCCGCACTTCTTTCGTAGTCCATTGTTAGAAGGAAGTTCTATTCTGTGTGCTTCTAAGAACCATTACTTTATGCAGTAGACTTCCGAGTGGATGATTCCTCGATCTCTTAAATCTAAAATCACTTCCAATCTTAACGTTTCGTAAGACGCTTTTCGATTTTCTTGAACAAAGTGAGGTTTACGTTGTGTGGTTACATATAATGTGATGATGCTTTG